TTTATGAAGCTTAGTCAATGATTAAAAGAGCTCCTCGTAAAGAGATATCATTGCCTACTACTCATGGTTAATGCGATGCGGCTTCCTCTTCCATTGGAGTTTTTCTGGATATTTAGAGAATTTTGGTGATCAAGAATCTATGATAGATGGAGAATAGAACCAAAGATGTGATGGCTGATTCATGCAGCTTCAACACCTCTACTTCAAACTATTTTCATAAAATATCTTTGTCAAGTTTCATCTTGTTCTTATTGTGAGAAAAATTGGAGCACATAATCAATTATTCAATCGATAAAGGGGAACAAAATTACTCCATAATGAGTGAAAATTTAGTTTGTGTATACAAATATTCATCTTTTATCAAGAAAGACTCCAACTTATACGAATGATAATAACAAGATGTGTGATATTGTTGGAGATGGGTTTGAGTTCTGTGATGATATGGGTAGGGCTACAAATGAATCGAACGTTCGACAAGCTACTCATGGCTCAGCTCGATATGAGCTCATTCATATTCGTTTGATAAGGTAAACGAATAATCTTGAACAACTTGGCATTCTGTTAGTTTATGTTCATGAACAATAACGTTTAACGCTCATGAACAAGTTCGTTAAGAAGCTATATTAGAGCTCGACTATGAAGCTAGATTAGAACTATATTAGAGTTTAAAATATATATATATATATTGTTAAATTTAATAATTTAAATATTTTATTTTTACAATTCCATCTAAAATCATTTAATAATTTATTTTTACTTCTTACATCCACCTAAAATCATGAACAACCCGCTCTCTGAACAAATATAAGATGAATCATAGATCATTTATTCATGAACGAGCTCATTTGGTAGCTCAAAAATACTAATTAGATATGTTCATGAACGGGCTCAATTGATAGCTCAAGAATACTCATTAGATATGTTCTAAAAAACTTCACTATATAGGTTCATGAATAGGCTAGATGTTAATATTTGTTAGAAGGCTCAATAAGGCTCATTTATTAAGTAAATGTACATTTAGAGGTAGAGCTCATTTATAGCTATATTAGGCTCGTTTGTTTAAAGCTCAATAAACACGAAATGAATCGAACACGAACAAAACATGAACCAAACATGAACACCTATTATTTTAAATGAACCAAGCTTGAACACAAACAAAAAAAACTCGACTCAAACTCGAACAAAACTTGAACAAGCTGATAATAAACGAACTCAAACATGAACACACACATACTCGGCTCGGCTCGGTTCATTAGAAGTCCTAGATATGGGAATATTGGTTATTGCAAATTTTTCTCTTGATGGACTAGAGTTGGAAGCAATTAAATTCAATGATGATGATATTAAAGCCAAAAGAAAAACCTTGAAGTTAATCCTATTATTCCTTTTAATGAATACTTGAAGCTTAATATTGTACTAAATAGTTTATACTTAGATTTTTTGAGGTTATACTAAACATTATATGATTATTATTTTGAAATTATAAGTCAGACAATTAATTATGACATCGATTTATTATTTTTTCGTCATATTTAATATGAAGTTATCCTAATTTTTATGTACTACTTAAAAATTATAATGTTGTATATGTGTCGCACCCGTGTTTTATATTTTCAATGATTGGCATGTCCCATGTATGTATCATGTTTGTGTCGTCGTGTCCATGTGAATGCATCATACGTAAACAAAGAAAAATAATTTCTAAAATTAAAAATATATACTTTAAAGTTTAAAAATTAAAATTTCAAAACTTTATGCTTATATTTTGAAATTCAAAAGTTAAATTCAATTATAATTTTTTCATGAGATTTATGTTTATATTTTGATATTCAAAAGTTAAATTTCAACTAGACTACCATGTTCAACCCGGGTCTTTGTCCTATACTTTCAATAATTGACGTGTCTTGTATCTTTGTCGTGACGTATCCGTGTCGTCGTATTCATGTTTGTGCATCATAGGTCATATCTCATGTCCCCATCTCTATTCTTCTCCATCACGAGCCGCCTACAACAAGTTGCAACCCCCATTACTGTTGTGCATGATTGCCAATAACCTCCTCCAGACGCCACTAAGCCAATATTGTCGGCCAACTTCATATGTCATGCATCACTTGACTCAGCCCATTTCATAGGTGAAGCTCCTTCCATTATTCCCTCTTTCACTAAAATTTTAATCAAAGGATTGATGGGACAAATGTGTTAAGCTTCTCTTTATTCTTGTTAGGAAGTAAACCAAGAATGAAACAAACAAGAAAACAAAATTGTGGAGAACAAACACCAGAATTTAATGTGAAAAAACCCAAAAATTAGGAAAAATCACAGAGTCACGCCACACCAAGAAATCTACTATGAAAAATGGGAGAAATTAAACATATATTTATACTCACACACATGTCAACCGTCTCCAAATGTGAATACAAGAGTATCTCACAAGTTATATCCCCTCCTGAATACAACTCTTAAAAACGAAGATAAAATTGACTCAACTAACCCGCAACGCCTAAGTGTTGACTTCACCCATTTCATAGGTGAATCTCCTTCCATTATTCCCTCTTTCACTAAAATTTTAATAAGAGAATTTATGGGACAGATGTATTAAGCTTCACTTTATTCTTGTAGGGAAGTAAACCATGAACGAAACAAACAAGTAAACAAAATTGTGGAGAAAAAATACCAAAATTTAATGTGGAAAAAACCCAAAAAATGATGAAAACACATGGAGTCATACCACACCAAGAAATCTACTATGAAAGATGGAAGAAATTATACATATCTTTACAGTCACATTCACATCCACCATCTCCAGACGTCAATACAAGAATTTCTCACAAGTTATATCCCCTCCTACTAATTAGGGGTGTCAATTTCGGGTCACGGGTCGGGTTCGGGTCGAACCCGGAACTGACCCGGGTTCAATCGGGTCGACCCTAACCCGACCCGGTGGGCAGCGGGTCATTTCGGGTCATTTCCGGGTTTCCGGGTCAACCCGAACCGACCCGATTTTTAAAACGGGTCGAAAACTCGAACCCGAACCCGACCCGGTTCGGGTTCGGGTTGACCCGAACCCGAAATTTTCGAGTCGGGTCCAGGTCGGGTTTTCGTGTCGTGTCAAATATTGACAGCCCTACTACTAATATAACTCTTAAAAAATGAAGATAAAATTGAGTCAATTAACACGCAGCGCCTAATTGTTAACTCATCTCTCTCAAAATGACTCTTTAGCATCGTGGTGATGGAACAACAGTGTCGTGTCAGTGTTCTCTATCTCAGAGGGGTCCACAGAGCCTTAGAATTGCATTTACAACGTTGTGGTGCTATATGGATAAAAAAAATCATGATAGAATCCCCAAGCAGAGGGTGTCAATTGATCTTTCACAATAAATTTTGAAGATTTCATTTGCACTTATATGTACTTATATGGTGTTAATTAACCTTCTCTTTAGAGGGCCTTTATCATCCTTGTTCGCATAAGATCTTTCATGTACTTATCATATTTTGCACCATATTTAAAATAGCAAACACACCAATGTGTACTGTGCACTTGGCTCCATAAGGACCTTTGTGCTATGATGTGTTAATCGCCGTTGACAAGTATAATTTTACAATAAAATATAATGTTCAATTAGGTTATATTTCCCAACATACTACGAAGCACACACTAAGATTGAGAGCATGACTATATTTACTCTAGGTACAATATGGATGAAAATATCATATTGTGTGAATGATGCTTGCACATGGTTACAATGGAGCTCCTATTGCAATAATCTTGAAAATTAGAGCACAACTTAACAAAGTACATGCCAATACTATAATTTTTATGATTCTCATGTTATCTTTCCTGGCTGTACAACCTTTGGTCATGTTGTCCACCTAATTAGTGGGGATACATTGATATGCATGGTCAACTAGCACTAATAGTTGCAAAGACTTTAGAGTACACCTAAACAGTAGAAAGGAAAGCCATTTTTAAAGAATTTCTATACTTGAGATTGTCAAGCAAGAGGGGCAGAATAGCAAAAGCAAATATAAGTATTAATGGCCTGGCAAAAATGAGCTCCTCGATTTTTAATATGTGTGCTCAATGTGACTGACCTAAACCTACATGAATGGCCACAAATTCAGTGATCTCTTGATTCTACATCTCCCAAGCCCAAGAATACCAAACTTCCTTGTTACTATCAAAGAAAAACTAAGCAAGCTCCTTATTGAACCCTTGTCATAGCTAATCAGATCAATCATTACAAGAGTGCTGTCAATAAATGCTTATAACTTATGCAACTCGTAGGCATAAATTTCATAATAGAAAAACAAACAACTTCTGCAATTTTAACTTAAATAGGAAGCTAGTAAGAAAAATAAGATTCAGCAAAAATCATATCAGCACATTTTAATTATTCTAAACCTGATAGATAGCCAAAATCTAACGGGTCTCCCTTCATCATTATAAAGCTTTTTGCATGCCCTTCAGATATTTTCCTGATACAAAATGGTCAGAGATCCAAGAGGATGTCATCAAATTTAACCCTTTCCAAACGGTAATCACCATATTTTGTCCTTGCAAATAAATCTTCAGAGTGAATAAACCAACTTCCTAGCTTAAATAACTGATACACAATAACGTTTTCTTTTCCATACTCGCCTATGTCTCGTTATTCTTTACTTAAATTAGACAAAGATTTCATTTAGTAGCTCCTACATCAAAAATCTTAGAAGCTCCTCCACTTCAATGGAAAATAATATTTCTTTTATGTCTAAAACAAAGGAAATCAGTCTTCACGGCCATATTTGTAAGTTAAATAACAAATCACCATATCCTTGATAAATAGCCATTCTTGACATCACTAATTCAACAGTATTGATGTTTCAAACCGAAAAGATAAATTAAGAATAAATCAAGCATTCCACAGTGGGAAACGAAGTAGCTGAAAATCAGATATGCGCAAAATAACAGCTAGTGTTTCTTCTTTTTCTCGAACTAAAGATGACTTGAAACTTACTTTGTCGAGCTTCTCAAATGAATCGGCCCGGCGAGGGACCCAGCCACGAATTGCCTCTCCCGCAACGGCTACAAGCCAGGCCGGCCACCCAGCAGCGACCTGATCCCCTTCCCCCGCTTTTGCAATGCTGCCGATCAACCGCAACTGCTGATGATTTGGATGGACTTGTCTTTCCGTCCTCATCTCCGCATCCCGGTCGATAAGACTGACCGGCCGGCTCCCCTGTTTCCTCTCGGCTATGGACGCTGATGTCAGACGGAAGGCCATCAACTCATCCCGCCTCGAAGACGAAACCGCTGCAGATGCTGAAAGCTTTGCCGGCGCGATCCCCTGCGCAGGCGCAACGGATTGTGCGACCTGCCGCGCCTTCGGGCTCTCCCTGCTATCCTCAATAGGGACAGGTTTGGCGCAGACGCAGCCCATGGCTTCCCAGCAGGAAGAGTTGCGGACAAGTTGTGGGAGTTATGTTTTCATGGCAAAGCACCTTGTCACTTCCTCTTCGTCAGCGTCCATGGGGACGCTACAGTGATATGAGAGGGAATGAAGACGAATCCTTTCTCTCAACGAATACAAGGATGTCAATTTCGAGTAGAAAAGAGAAACCAGCATCAGTAGATTCCCTCTCAGTTTTTTGGGTGAAAAATGCCGAGCTTCTTGAGCTAGGGCATGGAGTTAAAAGCATAGAAGCCAAGTTTCATTTTCTTCTCTGTTGACCTCACTGGTGCATCCCAGTGGCGCTTTGACTGACCAAATTCTTCCTGGTCCGAGTCAGCCCGGAATATTTTGGATATCTTCCAAGCTAGGCGCCTTGCGGATTGTCATTATGCATGGACAATGTCTATCGATTCAGGAACAATTATTACGTCCTCCGACCGGACGTAGAGGAACATCCGGTCGGAGGTAAATTCCCGTCAAATACTGAGTTGTACCGAGCAAATACTGAGCAATGTCAAACAATAATGAAGAATACCATCATTTGAAAACCCAATACCGAGTTATATCGAGCTTTACCGAGCAAATACCGAGTTATACAAAAGTTGTACCGAGTTTTTTTCAGAAAAACTCGGTACAACTCGGTATTTCTCGGTACAGCTCGGTATAACTCGGTATTGGTCTTTAGAGAACGGTATTCTTCATTATTATCAAATAATACCTAGTTGTACCGAGCAAATACCTAGTTTTTGGACGGGAAATTGCCTCCGACCGGACGTTCCTCTACGTCCTTGCACCGAACGTAATAAAAGTCAGGGCCCTTTGGTTTGATATAAGAAATTGAGAGTAAATGAAATACGACCAGAGCGGATTCGAGCTTAATTTTTAAGGGGGGCAAAAAGTGTACATATTTTTTTCTTAAAGTCAGCTCGATCCCTATTTGTTCATATCCTTGATCATTACACGTTTCGCATATATATCGGGGGTGCAAGGGGACAGCGCCCCCTGGCGGGGTTCGACCTACCCGATCAGGTTACTGGGTTAAGGGGCAGCGCCCCCGGAACAAATTTTGGTTGTAAGGATATTTTTAAATTTTCTTTACTATTTATCTTTGTATTCGATTCTTCAATTGATTATGTTGGGCAATTGCCTAAAGACCATAGTTTTTTTAAATTTACAAACTATCTTATGATTAGGTTGGGCAATTGCCTGAAAATCAAGATGATATATATTAGATCCAATTTTTATATTTTTAAATTTTCTTTACTATTTAGATAATTATTTTTATTGAGTTTTTTTAAGTAAAATAAATGTAATATGAAGTCATATGATAGTGATGGTCGATGACAAACGAAAGGTAGTAGCTACGGACTATGATGGTGATGGAGGTGATGACCAGCAGGTGGTTAGTTGCTGTTGGTGGCAGCAGCAGTTGCTTGCGACAGTAACAACAAAGAATTTATAATATATTTAGAAATCAAAATTGAATTAAAAAAAAATTCAAATATTTTAAATTTTTTATCTATATTTCTTTGAGACCAAACACTAATATTTTTAAAATCTTTGCATTTTTATTACTTTACTCCGCTTTTACTACAAATCAAACCAAACTATCCCTTAGATGATATAATAAGTTTTAATAAAAATTTTAAAGTTTGATCTATATGGATTAATAAATTTGAATAAAAACCATTTCTTTTTATACATTTAATTTGTTATTTATCATGTAGTATAAAATACACCTACTACATTTAACTGGTTTTACTTAATCTATATAGATAAATGTTATGTTAGAATATTCTAGCATAAATTATATCAATTTAGGATTGAAAAGAGCAATTTTTAAGGAGTACACTGCGAGTAATATTAAGTGATAGGAGTGAAAATAAGAGATAATTTAAAAACGAGCAATAACACAAAATATAACTATGTTTTATTAAAAAATGCAAAACAAATTTATTTATTTTGAATACAAAGAACCCAACAACAACGCGCCTTGAACCTAGTGCCGCGACACTCTTCATGAACCTTTTATTCTATCAAAATATAATGACTTTAGTGACACAGTGTTCAAAAGTCAGTGTCGTAGCACTCCCAATGAATTTGCTACGCACATAATTTTTTTTATTTTAATTCAAACCCACTAAATCCTTAAAACTAATTTCAAATAATGCAATAACATTCACAAAATCTAAATGTGCTATACTTACTAGATCAGTTAATGTCATTACACATAATTGATTGTTATATAAGTGCTTATTACACACAAGCAATCCAAAGTATGGTTTCTTAATGGCAAATCAAGGCTAACCAAGGCATTATAGCATGATTATATGCTATGAAAACAACCTGATGAACTATAGTTGGGAAAAAAATTAAGAAAGAATTGCTTAGGTGATAGATTTTTTAATAATGATAATAATATTTACTAACCTAACTCAAATGAAGACCATCAATTTCATCCCTACACATCATTGCATTACTAGTCGGGACCTCTCATACATATTCTTCAGCCCACTACATGGTATGTGATATTGTGGACCCATTAGTTAGAGACAATTATGCTTTGCATAAATCTGATATAAAGTACTTGAATCTAAGGGATTTGTCGATGAAATCTGTTGGATAGGGTAAATGGAGCATTAGCATACCAACATGTAATCACTCTCAAGATCAAACCTATGAGAGAGGAAGACACCTAGCTAGCTATATATACAAGAACCCAGCTATATATGAGAGAAGTAAATGGAGCATTAGCATTAACTAATAGTGAGTATTGTACATGAACATGAGAGCCAAAAGTGTTTAGAAGTAAGAAACAACCCAATATATATATATAGAATATAAGATTTGAAATATTAAAAAAAAAAAAAGGAAGATAAATCATCGTAATAGTCTCTATAGATTTAACCTAATGTATTACTGGTCTTGAATGGATTTAAATCCAACTTGTTATAAAGAATTTAAGAACTAAGGGTAATGAACTTGTCATTCAAGGGGAAATGGAGATGTGTTGAAGCAATAAGGGGTATTATCTGCACAAGGATGACATATGGATATAAATATATTGTGTAATTAAAAATAATTTTTTATATTTCATAAATTAGTTATACTGCCACTGTTAAAAGAGTTGCTATTTGCATATTTTACATTCTTGCAACTTGTATAGTTTTGATGATTCCAAATATTATTGTTTTAAGTATTATATTCTCCTAACACTTTTTGGAAGAATTATTTTTGCTATTGTGTGGACTAACATTTTAGGAAAATAGAACTCCAGACTAATTAAAAAAGACTTCAAATCAAATTCAGCATAAGATAGTTTATAAATTGAAGTTTGTTATTTTCATTGTATTGAGTTTGAGAGAGTATGATTGTAATTGAGTAGCTTAGCGCACACACACACTTTGGGAGATCTTTAAAAAATCATACTGATCATACGCGCGAACCAAGTTCTTACGGGACGATCAGGTCAGTTATCCCCTCGGAAGAGCAATGGAACGAACAAGAAGTGAGAAAATTTTTCTAAGTCCTGATCGTCCAGACGAATTTTCATATTCGTCCCTAGACTATACTCTCTAGATTCTCGCTTTGAACTGTTCGTCCAGATGAAATGTACCATTCGTCCCTGGACGAAGCTCTCTAGACACTTGAGTTGCACTGATCGTCCAGACGATTCTTCCCGTTCGTCCTAGGACGAAGTCCTCTAGACACATGGGTTAAACTAATCATCGAGACATTCATCCTGGTCGTCTCTGGACAAAGTTCTCTGGACACATGACTTGAACTATTCATCCAGACGAACATTCATGTTCGTCCCAGGACGAAGTCCTCTATTCCCTGAAAATTTAGGATTGTCTTGCAATTTCATCAGAGCAAACCCTTGATATAAATGTTCGTCCCAGGACGAACATATTTCATACAGGATGATGATCGGGTATGAAGTCAGTCGTACCAATATACATTGGGTTCGTATGCAACTGTTTTTTATAATATTTGTATAGGACGATCTAACGATCGTCCGGGATGATCTACTGTGTGCAGACTTGAAAATTAGCAGTTTTTGGATGATTTTTCGTGTCTTTCTTATATAAAGTCCACTTAAAACTGTCTTGTGATCTTTTTGCCTACTGATCTTCGTGTTAACTGAAGGGAGAGTGAAGGAGAGAGTATGAAAGAGTGTTTGAAGGAGGATTCTTACTACTGAAGTGTGAAAGATTCACTTGGTACTCAAAGGTAAGAATCTCCAATTGTGATTTGTGATTACTTCACTCTTTTCTCTCGTCCTTCTAGATTTCTTGTGAGAAGATCTATCAAGGAGATCTGATTCTCTGCCTACACTTGGAGAGTGTGAACAGCCGAAGGATTCTCTACTTAAACTTGGAGAGTGTGAACAGCCGAAGGGTTCTCTGCCTACACTTGGAGAGTGTGAAAAGATGAAGGGTTCTCTGCCCACATTGGGATTATGTAAAAGGACGACGGTTCTCTACCAACACTAGGAGAGTGTAAAAGGATGACGGTTCTCTGCCGCACCGAGTAGTGATGGAAGAGAGTTTTGTAAAGGCTTCTCTGCCTTGTTGTGGGTGCAAAAGGAGACTCACTAGTGGTATTAGTGCAATACTCGGAGGGTGCCTTCAGAGAATGGATGTAGGTCGTATTTGACTGAACCATTTTAAATCTTGTGTCTTTTTATTTTTCGCTTCTTTTGTTTTTACTTTTTAAATTTATGGTTGAAAAATCTTTTCTACAAAAATTCACTAAAGTTATTATCGGTTCAATTTGAAAAAGAGGGATAAATTTTTAATTACCAATTCACCCCCCTCTTGGTTAACCACTGGGATATAAGCTGAGGTCTAATAACCTAATTCATATTGAACAAGTTTCAACAAGTGGTATAAGGGCTTTGTTTCAAAATCATAAGTTTAGACGAATTTTTTATTAACGTAGATCAGTACAAGAAAACACGCTATTACCGACGGACAGTCCGCTGGTAACCTCTGAAATCCTCAGTTTCCGATGCATTTCCGTCGGATTTTTATGCGCCGGTTTTGCATGCGTCGCTAAATATTTACCGACGTTTCCAATCCGTCGGAAACCATTTCGGCGAACGTTCTGACGCATCACCGGCGCAAAATACGACATAGAAGATGGCTATTTTTAATCCATAATTCTGACGACAAATGCGTCGGTAGTTTACGTCGTACGGATCCGACGGAAACTACTGGCGCATAAGACATCATAAGTTTGCCGTAAATAAGCAACGGCTTAGTTCCGGCGCAAATTTGGCGTCAA